CAGAGTCTTGCTCTGTAGTCCATTGTATTAGTCCGTTTTCGTGCTGCTGATAAAGACATGCTCTAGACTGGGTAATTTATAAAGAAAAAGAGGTTTAATAAACTCACAGTTCTGTATGGCTGGGGAGGCCTCACAATCATAGTGAGAGGCAAAAGGCATGTCTTACATGGCAGCTGGCAAGAGAGAGAATGAGAACCAAGTGAAAGGGGTTTCCCCTTATAAAACCAACAGATCTCACGAGACTTATTCACTACTGTGAGAACACTATGGAGGAAATCGCCCCTATGATTTAATGATCTCCCACCGGGTCCCTCTCACAACATGTAGGGATTATGGGAGCTACAATTCAAGATGAGATTTGGGTGGGGACACAGCCAAACCATATCACCTAGGCTGGAGTGCAGAGGTGTGATCACGGCTCATTGTGGCCTCCAACTCCTGGGTTCAAACAATCCTCCCACCTCAGACTCCCGAGTAGTGGTCACTACAGGTGTGTGACACCACCTCTGGCTAACTTTTAAATTTTTTGGAGAGATGGAGTCTTGCTATTTTGCCCGGGCTGGTCTCAAACTCTTGGTCTCAAACGATCTTCCCGTCTTGACCTCCCAAAGAGCTGAGATTACAGGTGTGAGCCACGATGCCTGGCTGGTTCTCATTTATTTAATTGTTACTTTTGTCATGGTTTGCTTGGTCCCTGTGTGTTCCCCCACCCTCCAGAACTGACATATAGTATGGTTCACAATAAATATTTGTGGAATAAATAAGAGCTGAGCCTTCAAGGGTTCCAAAATACTTGCATGCAGTTTTTCTATGTGGGCATGATGACACCCAGCTGCATGACTATTTCAGGGTGTTCATTGGCTCTTGTGGTTGATCTTTTGACACCTGCAAAAGAACTCCCACTTCTCCAAATCTGGGGGCCACATCTTTAGAGTTCTCAGCTCTCTGTCTCTCAGGAATGAAGAAGACAACATCACCAATCGGAGCTAGAGTGTCTGGATGTTGAATCCCAGCTCCATGCTGGTGCCTTTGAGAAGTGACTTAATCCCTCTATGTGCCTTATTTCGGCCTCTGTAGATGGAGATAATCATAGCGTCTCTCATGTGGGGCTGTTTGATGATTCGGTGAGGTAGGTGCAAAGAGCTTTTTGCACTTGCAAAAAGTCTGGGATATCATTGTGCACTGTAAGAATGAGCTGTAATGGTTATCATTGAGACTTGTTGTTGGGATTAAAAGAAATCGTCTTGGCAGGGCCTGGCGCACAAGAGGTACTAGAAAAATAATGACATGCTGGCTGCTCACAAGGCTTCCCAGGCCAAGCTGGCATGTCTGGGCAGGGCCACCCACCCCTACGATCGGGTGGTATTTCTCCTCCCTGCTGCCACCCTCCGTTTCTGCCCCAGGCAAGTCTCTGCCTCCTTCATTGGGCTGTTTCTTCTTTTCCTGTGTCTCTCTGTCCTTCTCTTTGAACTTCTAGATCAGTCACTCTGTACTTCTCTGATTGTCTCCTCTGAGTCTCTCTTTGTCACTTGTCTAGGTCTTTCCAGGGCTCTGGGTCTGTCTATATCTCCATCTACACCTTTCTGACTGAGCATCTCTCCAGCTGTCCACCTCTTCCTTTCTCTGTGGGTGCCTCTTTCCATCTCTCTCTGCCTCTCCCTCTAACTGTGTCCTGTGTCTTTCTCAGATTCCTTCTCCCTGTTTCACTGGGTCCCAGTTATTCCCTCCATCCGTTCCAACCTTCTTCCCTGCCTCCCTCTCCTTCCCCTCCTTCCCTCCCTTCCTCTCCCCCTTCTCTCTCTCTGGCACTTTCTCTTTCCTTCTCTCTCGGTATCTCCTTGGTTCTCTCTGCCTCTCCCTTTCTTTCCATCTCTCCCTGGTGGTCCTTCTCCATCTCTCTTTCCTCTCTCTACCGCTCTCTCTCCATCTCTCCCTTGGTGGTCCTTCTCCATCTCTCTTCCTCTCACCGCCTTCCATCTCCTCAGCTGTCTCCCCTCTCCTCTCTTTCTCTCTCTCTCCTCTCCTCTCTCTCTCTCTCTCTCTCTCTTCATCTGTCTCAACTCTCCATCTCTCCCTGGTGTTCTCGGTCTCTTCTCTCTCTCTCTCCGCCTCTCCATCTCCTGGTGCCTTTGCCTTTCTCTCTCTCTCTCTCTCTCCCCATCCTCTCTCTCTGTTGTTCCCTCCATCTCCTCCCTGGTGCATGTCTCTCCATCTCTCTCTCCCCCACCTCTCTGTCTCCACATCTCCCTTGTGCTCTCTGTCTCTCTCTTTCTCTTGTCTCTCTCTCTCTCTCTCTTTCATCTCTCACCTCCCCATCCTCCTGGTGCTGTTGGTCTCTTCTCTTTCTTTCTCTCTGTCTATCTTCTCCTCTCTCCATCTCTCCTTGTTACTCTCTCTCTCATCTCTCTGTGGTGCTGTCTCTCTTTCTCTCTCTCTATCTTTCTCTCTCCATCTCTCTCTCCTCTCTCTCTCTCTTTCCATCTCTTTCTCTGTCTCTCCCCCATTTCTCCTTGGTGCTCTCTCTCTCTCTCTCTCTCTCTCTCCATCTCTCTCTCCCCTCCATCTCTCTCTGGTGTGCTCTCTCTCTCTCTTGCTCTCTCTCTCTTTGTCTCTTTCTCTTCCTTTCTGCCCCCCTGGAAGCTTTTCTCTTGCTCTCTTCTTACCCATGCTCATTGCCCACATACCTCCCCTTCTGGCTCTCTGCCTGTGGGAAGGAGTAAGGTGGAGGTGATTATGTAACTGTCATGATTCCAGAGGGTGGGGTGAGGGATAAGGAGGAGACCAGGAAGGAAGACTTTCTTTCTTCTCACCCATCCATCAAACTGGCCTCATAGATACCTCCCCCAGCTCCACGGCTACTGAATTGGGCGGGTAGGTCAGATCACTGCCTCCCTCCCCCAGGGAAGGTCAGACAATGAATCATACAGAACCAGAGGGAGTGAGGGGCTCTGGCTGGGAGACAGAGGCTGCAATCAGGTGGAGCTTCCCAAAGGAGACAGGCAGGCCTCAGGGCTCTCCCTCAGCCTCCAGAAAAGGTGAAAAGCAGTGGAATCAAGATGTTAGTGGAGGTTTTGCGGAGCCCCCAACTCAGCTGGGCTGAGGCCTGAGGCATCCAGTTCCTGAAGCCCCAAAACAGAGACCAGGTAGTGAAATAGGTTTCAAATCTACCATATTCTGCCCAGCTTCACTGCTGCTGCTGGGTCTGAGTCAACATCACCAGTTGCAGTAGCTTGCTAATAGGTCTTTGCTTTCATATCCATCATATGATAGCTAGTGTGAGCCCCATAAAATATGTCAGTACATGTCACCCTCTGCTCACTATCCCTCCAAAGACCTCGATCACTTTCAGGGTAAAAAACAAGGCCTCACCTTGGCACATAAGACCCCACACAGTCTGGCCCCCAAAACCTCCCTGGTCTCGTTTCCTTCACTCCTACTCTGTCTTCCTCCTCCATGCCAGCTACACCTGCTCCCTGTGGATTCCTGGATGCACACAGCCTCCTGCCTTAGGACTCTGATGGTTTGTTTGTTTGTTTGTTTGTTTGTTTGTTTGTTTGTTTGTTTGAGACGGGATCTCACACTGTTGCCCGGGCTGGAGTGCAATGGCGCAATCTCAGCTCACTGCAACCTCTGCCTCTCAGGTTCAACCGGTTCTCCTGCCTCAGCCTCCTGAGTAGCTGGGATTACAGGCACCTGCCACCAAGCCCAGCTAACTTTTGTATTTTTCGTAGAGATGGGGTTTTCACCATGTTGGTCAGGTTGATCTCAAACTCCTGACTTCAGGTGACGTGACTACCTTGACCTCCCAAAGTATGAGGATTACAGGTGTGAACCATTGTGCCCGGTCGCTGCCATTTTTTTGTTTCTTTGTTTTGTTTTGTTTCTGTTTTTGTTTTTAGATGGTGTCTCCTTCTGTCGCCCAGGCTGGAGTGCAGTGGCAGGATCTCGACTCGCTGCAAGCTCTGCCTCCCGGGTTCACATCATTCTCCTGCCTCAGCCTCCTGAATAGTTGGGACTACAGGCACCTGCCACCACGCCCAGCTAATTTTTTGTATTTTTAGTAGAGACGAAGTTTCACCGTGTTAGCCAGGATGGTCTCCATCTCCTGACCTCGTGATCTGCCTGCCTCGGCCTCCGAAGTGTTGGGATTACAGGCGTGAGCCACCATGCCCAGCTGCTGCTGTTTTTAATCATTCTACCAGGAACACTTCCTTCCCAGGTATCTTCATAGCTTGTTGCTCCATCACCTTGTGAAACCACCCCTAACCATCCATTTACAATTCCAATCACAGAATGTGTATCCCACTTATCAGCCTTGCTTTTCTAACGCGGTATGTCTTTCGCATATTTATTTCCTGTGTGCTCTATTGTTCACCTTCCTTACTAGAATGTAAGCTCCTTGAAGGCAGGAGTTTTTGTCTGTTTTGCTTACTGATGGATTTCAAGTCCCTGAAGACTATGCCGGCACATGTTGGGTATTCAATAAATATTGACTGAATAAATGAAAAAGAGGGAACATTGTTGTCAGTTAATGGAGTTTGGAAAGGGAATGATAGAAGGTGGGAACAACCGAGCTATCGTCAAAAATGGGGATAGCCAAGCATGGTGGGGAGGCCGAGCATGGTGGCTCACGTCTGTAATCCCAGCACTTTGGGAGACCAAGGTGGGTGAATCGCTTGAGGTCAGTATTTTGAGACCAGCCTGGACAACATGGCGAAACCCCATCTCTACTAAAATTACAAAAATTAGCCAGGTGCAGTGGCACATGCCTATAATCTCAGCTACTTGGGAGGCCGAGGCACAAAAATTGCTTGAACCCGGGAGGCGGAAGTTGCAGTGAGCCTAGATGGTGCCACTGCACTCCAGCCTGGGCCACAGAGTAAGACTACATCTCAAAACAAACAAATGGACTGGGGAGTATTTGGAATTGGGAGTTCAAGTAAGAGCAACCAGAAAGCAAGATTAGAAGAGATGACGGTGGAGAAAGGTAATGAGTCAGTAAGATGGGTGGGGATGGGACATTTTACCCAGGGGAAGTCACTGGAGCGGAGCTGGCAGAAACTATAACTAATAACAAGTCAAGAAAGACATTTCAAGCTGTTGATTGTACCCTACATCGCTGTCACACATAATACACAGTAAACTTGCTACACTCAACAGACTTGAGGTCTTTGTTGACTTTTCGGGGGCTGGTGGGTAAAGACAAGAACCAAGCAGAAAGGATTTTAGACTACATTTTGCTCAAAATCACAGCACACACAAAAAGGGACAACATGAAGACACAGGGTCTACACTAAGGATTTGATGCAGCCAGAAACCGAAGCCACGGTGACCATGTGACCGTGAAACCTGCAGGCAGAGGTGCAGATCTTGCACAGGGCGTTGCTCTTCTATGGGAGGGGAAGACACGCAGCTGTACATTCTCAGGTGACCCTGGCTGACTCTGTAATCATGGTGCCTCCTCTTAGGGATGCTGTGAGGATTAGTAAGATGAGGAAGAGGGGTGCTCCTGAACATGAGAGGAGAGCTGCATTCCCCACTTCCTCCTTGCCCCGCAGGTGGCGCTCAGCGGGCCACGAGGCAGAGTTCATAGGTCGGGGGGATGTTGCCAAAGCCTGAGAGCTTGGGGTTGATATCGATGTCCCCAGGTGGCACCAGCGAGCGTAGAGAGAAGTTCTGAAGGATGGAGGTGAAGTAGAGAAAGAGTTCCATGCGGGCCATGGCCTCACCCAGGCAGATGCGCTTTCCTGCAGGCACAGGGAAGGACAGAAGGAAGGGTCGCACCTGCTCAGGTCATGGGGTGTCGGGGGTGTCTGGACTGACCACCCCACTGAGCCTCAGCTGCCTCATCAGCACCTCAGGGCTCATGACTGTGCCTGCTTTATAAAGGGGTGTTACACAGGCTTAGTGGGTGTCTACAGTTAGGCTCAGCTAGGACCTGCTACTTCTCTGATGGCTCTGATTCCATCCCATTCCAAGAGGGAATGGTTGTATAGGATCCATGAGTTTCAAGGTTGTGTTCATTTCAGTTCCTCAAGGGTTTGTCAAATGCCTATTATGTGCCAGACACTGGTGAGAAGAAAAGTGAAACTCACCGTTAATAACACCTACTGTTTGTAAGCCGCTCATCCAATTGTTTGGAGGGATGAATCCCTGTTTCACAGACGGCGGCTGAAGTGACTCACCCAAGGCCCCACCATTTCTAAAAGGTGGAGTGGAGTCCAGGTTCCCAACCACTGCCCTGACTCCAGGATCCAAACAACATACACTTTTTGTTGTTGTTTTTTGTTTGTTTGAGACCGGGTCTCACTCTGTCTCCCAGGCTGGAGTACAGTGACATGATCTTGGTTCACTGTAACCTCATCTCCCGGGTTCAAGTGATTTTTGTGCCTCAGCCTCCCAAGTAGCTGGGATTAGAGGCGCAGGCCACCATGCCTGGCTAATTTTTGTATTTTTAGTAGAGATGGGATTTCACCATGTTGGCCAGGCTGCTCTTGAACTCCTGGCCTCAAGTGATCCGCCTGCCTCGGCCTCCAAAAGTGCTGGGATTACGGGTGTGAGCCATTGTGTCCCACTAACATACACTTAAAATGTTGCTGCATATAGATTTTATGCCATCAGTAGGCAAATGACTGTCTGTTGGGCAAATGTGCCCTGCTGCTTGTGTTCATACAGCCTGCAAACTAGGAATGCTTTTGCATTTTAAAATGGTTGGGGAAAAAAGACTCTTTTGTGATATATGAAGATAAAATTCAAATTTCATTGTCTGTAAACAGTTTTTCAGGCTCACACACACCCTCATTCATTTACATATTGTCTATGGCTGCTTTTGTAGATCAACGGCAAAGGTTCAGAGGCTATCTGCCTGGAAACACAGAAAATATATCTTATTTTGTTCTTAACAGCCAGTTGGTTTATGCCCTGTTTAGTGCTATTACCATCCTAACTTTTTTTTTCTAATTGTCAGGGTCAATCGTTCCAATATTTACTAATTCTGGGATTCTAAAACTTTATGGTTCTAAGATATAACCTTCAAACTCACATTGTGACTTGAACTTCAAATACAGACCAGTGGCTGGGGGGTGGATTTAGCACATGCCTAGGGGGAAGTCAGACCGGAGAAACCTACCAGAGGAAAAAGGTACAAAAGCTTCATTCTTCTTGAAGCGGCCCTGCTCATCCAGAAAGTGCTGGGGATAGAAGGCATCTGGGTAGCGGAAGTATTTGGGGTCTTTGAGGACAGAACCAAGCAGGGGAAATACATCTGTGCCCTGGGGTGAAAATGGGGGCAGTTAGGAGAAATCAGTGTTGGGCTACAGGAGTAGGGAACCAGGGGGAGAGAGAAGTGCAGTGGAAGGGAGGCAATGAGGGTGCAACCCCACCTTGGGCAGAAGGTAGCCTCGAAATTGAGTGTCCCGGACGACATTGTGGGGGACACCCATGGGCACGATGTCTACCAGTCTCTGTATTTCATGGATGACGGCATCCGTATAGGGCATCTTGACCCGGTCATCCACACTTGGGAGCCGGTGTGGTCCAATCACCTGGTTAATTTCTTCGTGGATCCTAGCTGGAAGGGGCCAGAAAATATAGTGGAGAACAGAGAAAACAAAAACAAAAACAAAAACAAAAACACAGGAGGTGTTTTTATTAGGGAAGCCAGGGCAAATCATGCATTCCAAGCTCCAACAGAAAGAGATCTCAGATGCAAGCCATGCATGTTTGGTCACCTTTTTTTTTTTTTTTTTTTTTTTTTAGCAGCCTGTCACACAGGCTGGAGTGCAATGGCATGATCTCGGCTCACTACAACCTCCGCCTCCCCTTCAAGTGATTCTTCTGCCTCAGCCTCCAGCATAACTGGGATTACAGGTGCCTGCCACCCGCCCAGTTAATTTTTGTATGTTTAATAGAGACGGGGTTTCACCATGTTGGTCAAGCAGGTCTTGAACTCCTGACCTCGTGATCCACCCACCTTGGCCTCCTGAAGTGGTGGGATTACAGGTGTGAGCCACGGCACCCGGCCTGTTCGGGCGCTTCTTTAACTTAACAAGTGACACACTGGTGGTGCTCAATTACTTGTCAGACATCAGGTGACAGGCAGCTTGGAGTCCTGAATGCTGCCAGGACATTTGGTCTTTATTTAAAAGCATCAGAAAGCCATGGTGCCAACTTGGCTCTCATATATGGGATTTTTACAAAATGGGAAAGAGGCATGCTAGGTGACTAGAACAGGATTGACACAAATGGCAAGTGGTTATTTCACTGATTAAGATCACCATTGGTCGAGTTACTCCTCTTTGCACTTTAGGGTTTAGGGATGAGTAACTTCACCTTCTTTTTTTTTTTTTGGAGATGGAGTCTTCTCGCTCTGTTGGCCAGGCTGGAGTGCGGTAGCACGATGTCAGCTCACTGCAAGCTCCGCCTCCCGGGTTCACGCCATTCTCCTGCCTCAGCCTCCAGAGTAGCTGGGGCAGCAGGCACCCGCCACCGCGCCCGTCTAATTTTTTTTTTTATATAGTTTTAGTAGAGACGGGGTTTCACCGTGTTAGCCAGGATGGTCTTGATCTCCTGACCTCGTGATCCGCACGCCTGAGCCTCCCAAAGTGCTGGGATTACAGGCGTGAGCCACCGCGCCCGGCCTGTGTGACTTCACCTTCTGAACTTGTGTTTTGTCATCTTCAAAATGAGTGTGATGGTTGGACAAGGTCATAGAGTTGTAAACATTACATAAAGTCTGGTGTACAAGGAGCTAGGACAGTGCTTGGCACATAGAAGCATCCAATAAATATTTGATTTGATTTGATTTTCTTTTCTTTTTTCTATTTTTTTTTTTCTTTTTTTTAGAAGGAGTCTTGCTGTGTCCCCAGGCTGGAGTGCAGCGGTGCAATCTTGGCTCACTGCAACTTCTGCCTCCCGGGATCAAATGACTCTTATGCCTCAGCCCCCCAAGTAGCTGGGATTACAGGTGTGCACTACCACACCTGGCTAATTTTTGCATTTTTAGTAGAGACAGGGTTTCACCATGTTGGCCAGGCTGGTCTTGAAGTCCTGGCCTCAAGCGATTTGCCCATCTCTGCCTTCCCAAAGTGCTGGGATTACAGGCATGAGCCACCGTACCCGGCCTGATTATTTAGACTGGTGAAAGACAACTCAGACAATGGAGGTAAGACTAGAAACATTTGAGTGGAAGTGTGTTAGTGTCTCTCATCTGCGCCAGGAGAAATCCTTTGGCTTGTTTTGAATTGCCTTATTAAGGAGAGGGGCCAAAATTGGGAATTTTCCTTAAGCAAGTAGTGAGTTCTTCATTACTAAAGTTACTCAAATGGACCAGATTATAATTTATTGGAGACGAATTCTATTTAACTTTGGCAGGGCGGTTGGCTCAATAATGGCCATCAGAGATAACCACCTCCAAGTCTCTAAAACCTAATGCCTGGAAGGCTATGTATATAAGGGTAACAAAAAGACACGAGAGACTTTGAAAATGCCAGTAAATTAAGAATCTTGAGACGAAAAGATTAGCCTGGGTTGCCGAGATTGGCCCTCAATATAATATTGTGTATCTGTATAAGAGAGAGGCAGGAGAATCTGAGTTAGAAAAAAAAAGATGTCAGGCTGGGAGCAGTGGCTCATACCTGTAATCCCAGCATTTTGGGAGGCCAAGGCGGGTGGATCACCTGAGGTCAGGAGTTTCAGACCAGCCTGGCTAACATGGCAAAACCCTGTCTCTACTAAAAATACAAAATTAGCTGGGCATGGTGGCACACACCTGTAATCCCAGCTATTCAGGAGGCTGAGGTAGAAGAATCGCTTGAACCAAGGAGGCAGAGGTTGTGTGAGCTGAGATCACACCACTGCACCCCAGCCTGAGCAACAGAGGAAGACTCTGTCTCCAAAAAGAAAAGAAAAAGAATAAAAGATGTGATGCCAGAAGCAAATAGAGGTTTGAAGAAGCTACACTGCTGGCTTTGAAGATGGAGAACAGAGTCGTGAACCCAGGATTACAAAGAGTACAGCTTTAACACCCAGAAAAGGCAGAGAATCAGATGGTCCATTGGTGTCAGCCAGTGAAAGCCTATTTGAACTTCTGAAATTCAGAACAGAAAGATAATACATTTGTGTTGTTTTAGACGACTAAGTTCCTGGTAATTTGTTACAATGGCCACAGGCCACAGACACCAAGTTGAAGATTAAGTTAAATGACCCCCACAGTCGGGGATGTCGTGTTTCACGTCCTGAAGTTCTAAAGGGTGAAGAGTCTGAGGCCCTGGGATTCTAGATTTTCAAGATGATGTCTTCTTTATATTGGGAGGGGGAGGTACCAGATAAGCAGCTCAGGGTGGACTCACCTTCCACTTCAGGATGCTTCATTAACAGCAAGAATCCATAGCGCAGTGTAGAGCTCACCGTCTCCGTGCCAGCAAAGAAGAGGTTCAGAGTGGTGAGGACCAAGTTCTTGAGGTTGAATTCTGTACGAGGATTATTTTTATCCTGAGAGTGAGGGGATAGTGAATGGAGTCACTCTCTTCTGTCTTTATTGTCTTTTTTTTTTTTTTTTTGACAGTCTTGCTCTGTCACCCAGACTGCAGTGCAGTAGCATGATACTATCTCACTGCAACCTCCACCTCCTAGGTTCAAGCAATTCTCCTGCCTCAGCCTCCTGAGTAGCTGGGGTTACGGGCGCCTGCCACCATGCCTGGCTAATTTTTCTTTTTTTTGAATATTTAGTAGAGATGGGATTTCACCATGTTGGCCAGGCTGGTCTCAAACTTCTGACCTCAGTTGATACGCCCACCTCGGCCTCCCAAAGTGCTGGGATTACAGGCGTGAGTCACTGCGCCTGGCCTATTGTCTTATTTTCTCATTGGCTTTATTGTCTGTTGTATAGGGAAACAATAGGTGGGTAAACCAAGCGTGTCTGGGAGAGAACACAGTCAGAAAAAAGGTCCTGGGGCAGGAACGTGCCTGGTGTGTTAGAGAAACAGCAAGGCAGAAGCCGGGGTGGATGTGATGGAGTGAACAATAGGGAGGATAGGAGGAGAAGAAGAATGTAGGATGCCTTGTAAGATTTGAACATGTAGGGACAGTAGCGTATAGAATTTAAATTTCCAAGGGCAAAGATTTGATAATAAAAATATAAATTTACAAATGTATAAAACTCTAAGAAATGGTGATACAGAAGTATTAACTTTCTAAATTTCTATAGAGATATGGAAATAAAGATATATATCTATAGAGATATAGAAATAGAGATACATATCTATAGAAACAGAGATATATCTCTACATAGAAATAGATGTATATCTCTAAACAAATTCAGAAGGTTAATACTTCCGTATCATCATTTCTTAGAGTTTTATACATTTGTAAATTTATATTTTTATGTTATTGAACCTTTGCCCTTGGAAATTTAAATTCTATGCCTATGTCCCTACATGTTCAAATCTTTTAACTTTAACTTAAATGTTAACTTAAACTTTAAATTTCAGAAAATTTCTAAGTTTTTGAGATTCTAAGACTCAAAACTACAGTTGTAACTCTCTGGCATGTATGAGGTGTAAGATTTTAAGTTTCTAAGTTCCTAAATTTTCCAAATTCCTAAAATTTCTAGATTCCAAGTCTGTTTTAAAGCTGTAACAGTTTATACTTTTATAGTTTCTATACTCATCTGTAGATAAAAGTAAACCCTGTGAAATAATGCTTGTTTTTTATGTTTTGTTTTGTCCTTAATGTTTGCAGATTGGTTGAAAGTTGCGGGACTAGAGGTTGAGAAGACAAGAGGGAGGGACCAGTGGAAGAAGAGGAGGTACCTGGTGCATCTTGATGAGAAAGCAGTCAATGAAGTCCCGAGGGTTTTGGGAGTCAAAGGATGCTTCGTTGATCTTGACCCTGGAGGCAATGAAGTCCTTGAGCTTTTCTATCAAGTAGTAGACGCGATTGTGTCTTCCTGGCAAATACTGCATGACTCCAGAGTACATGTCATATAGCTGTGGGAATAGGTAAGGGGACTTTGTCAGTGATGGGTGCCAGGGGCCCGCATGGGCTGAGTCTGGAGGTGGACAGCTGGGCTCAAAGTCCAGTGCTGGGTCTAAGAATCGGGTGAGGCCCTTTTGCTTCACAGAACTTGGGTCCTGTTGAGACAGTAGTTCCCCCTTAACCCTGGTTTTGCCTTCCACCATTTCAGTTATGTGTGCAGTCAACTGCAGTCTAAAAATATTACATATAATAAGATATTTTGAGAGAGAAAGAGTACATTCACATAACGGTTGTCAGAATATATTGTTATAATTGTTCTATTTTATTACTTATGAATGCCAGTCTTTTACTGCACTCAATTTATACATTGAATTTTATCACAGTATGTATATATCAGAAAAACTTAGTATCTATAGAATTGGATACTATTCATGGCTTGAGGCATCCACGGGGGTCTTGAACATATCCCCCAGCAATGAGGGGGAACTACTGTACTAACCTCCCGGGGGTGTGGGGAGGATCAAGTGGGGTATAGGAAGGTGCTTAGTTAACTGGGGTTGGTGCATGGACAGAGAGGTGGCTGGGTGGGCACCTGCGCCCAGGGAGTGCTCATCTCAGTGAAACTCTCATTGATCAACCGCAGCAGATTCAGGAACTGCTTGTCCTCATAGTCGAAGCGACTTCCAAAGACAACAGAACTGATGACGTTGGAAACGGTGCGGCTCAGCAGGAAGGTGGGGTCGATGGGGGCACCTGGGTAGTGGAAATTGTTTATGTTGGAGGCCATGGTCATGAATATGGGGTGTGGAGTCACAGTGATGCATCTGAGTCCCAGCTCTACTACTTAATTACATGTGTGAGCCACTTCATTTTTGTGTTTTGGGTCTAGATTGTCCAATCTGCAAATTGGTTTGGGAACCATTTCGTTGATTCATGAGGGTTCAATATCATTATCCATATAAAATAATTAGCACAATGCCTGGCATACAGTAAGCACTCAAGAAAATCTAGTTGAGCTTAATCATTATTTTGTATTATTATTACTTAAATGTGTTGATGTTAGAGACTCACATATTTGGGGAAAAGTGGGATAAGGGACACATTATAAAAGTTCCTGAATTCTGTCTAGCTCTACCGATGATTCCATTTGGGCAATTAAAAAAATTCTTCCCAGCCGGGCGTGGTGGCTCATGCCTGGTAATCTCAGTACTTTGTGAGGCCGAGGCAGGCAGATCACAAGATCAGGAGTTGGAGACCAGCCTGGCCAACATGGCGAAACCCCGTCTCTACTAAAAATACAAAAATTAGCCAGATGTGGTGGCAGGCGCCTGTAATGCCAGCTACTCAGGAGGCTGAGGCAGGAGAATCGCTTGAAACCGGGAGGTGCAGTGAGCCGAGATCGTGCCATTGCACTCCAGCCTGGGTGACAAGAGCAAGACTCTGTCTCAAAACAAAACAAAACAAAACAAAACAAAATTCTTCCCTTGCCCTCACCTATACCTTCTGTAAAACAAGATCAGTAGATGTGGGAAGAATTTCTCTAGAATAATGCACATATTCACAGATACACAATTTTATGAATAATGTCTGGGGTACATGGGCATTTGAAGTTTTTATATAGACCTGTTAATCACCCATGTAGACCAGGCAAGGCGCCTTGGATGCAGAGAAAATGTGTCTCTATTTCTACCTCTTATCTATTTTTCTATTTTGTTTTGTTTTTTTTTTTTCCAGCCTCTGTGTCCTTTCTCTATAGATCCCAGTGTTTCTAGACCTTATTTTATGGTGGGACTGAACTCCTTTTAAAACATAATGAAATGAATATAGAGTTTCAGATTTGCAAGATAAAAAAGTTCAAAAGATTTTTTTCACAACATGAATATACTTAACACTAATTAACTGGACACTTAAAGAGGCGAATATGGTAACTTTTAGGTTATGTATTTTTTACCACAATATGGATATACAAATGTAATGAAATTTGAGCCTGTCTTCAAGAAAAGTCACAAAGTCACATGTCGCCAAAATCTGCATAGGATATCAAGAGCTCACAGACCCCCTGAGATCCACTGATTAAAGTTGCTAAAGAAGTGGTCTCTAAGGGTCTTCCATGTTAACTGTTTTGTTGTTGTTTTTTTAAGAGACAGAGTCTCACTGTGTCTCCCATGCTGAAGTGCAGTGCAGTTCAAGGCACTACAGCAGCCTTGAACTCCTGGACACAAGCATCCTCCGGCGTCAGCCCCACAAGTGGCTGACACTACGGGCATGTGCCACCATGCCCAGCTCATGTAAACTTTTAATACGGAAACTGGCCAGAAATCCCAGTGGATTCTTAATATTTTCCCTCTTCTTCCATTCCAGAGCTTTCTCCCACCAAAGCCCATCTTCTCTTGACTGAGAGCTCCATAACCACCCAGTCACCTAGTGGCCCTCCCCCTTGTGGCCCCCATACCCTTGGTCTTCCGGAACTCCTCCAGTAGGTAGCCAGCCTCCTCCTGAATTCGCTCCTCAATGCTCCGCTTTCCCATCCCGAAGTCCCGAAGGATGGTCAGGGAGAAGCGTCGGAGAATCCTCCATCGCTCTCCATTGGCCAGAGCCACACCTGCCAAGATCTCAGTCTCAGGCTTCTGCCTCCCTCCCCTTGCTGCGTTCAACTCGGTGCTACACAGTGATGGGGACAGATTATGAAATCTCTAGACTGTGCTGTCAAGGAAGCCATCCTCAACCTTCAAGGCTCAATCAAGAGAGTAAGGTTCCTTCTCTGCAGGATCCTCAGAAAAGAAAAAAAAAGTCCAGACTGAGGTGGAAGAAAAGGGAATCAGTGCAGGAGTGATAGGGGGAGATCAAACAGTGTTTCTTACAGGAAAGAGGGGTGGAACTGGATAAATAAAAAAAAATAACTGAGTGAATGCATAGGAAGGTGGAAGGATGGACGGATGGAAGACTTAATAGATGGGTGGATGGTTAATGGATGGATGGTTTGAGATAGACGGATAACGTTTGGAGAGTGGATAGAGAGATCGATAGATGTATAAAACATGAAAGAATTAATGAATGGATGGAATGATGGATAGATGAATAAATAGAAAGTTAATTGACTGATGTATAAATAATAGAGTGAAAGATGTTTTTATAGAAAGAATAATGAATGGATTTTCTGATGAATATGGATCAATGGACAAAAGGAAGAAAAGGTAATAGAAAAAAAGAAAGAAAAGAAAGAAAGAGAGAGAAAGAGAGAGAGAAAGGAAGGAAGGAAGGAAGAAAGGAAGAAAGAAAGAAAGAAAGAGAGAGAGAAAGAAAGAAAGAAAGGAAGAAAGAAAGAAAGAAAGAAAGAAAGAAAGAAAGAAAGAAAGAAAGAAAGAAAGAAAGAAAGAAAGAAAGAGGTGAGCCTGCTTGGAATTGAAGGCAGTTAGAGATGGATGCTTGGGAGAAAGAGATCTACCTAAGTGAAGGAGGCAGAGACCTATGGCTTAGGTATGTGGATGAGTATAGGAAGATGAGAAATAAGGTTGGCTATGACAGCTTTAGTGGGTGCATAAAGAATATCACTAATTCGCCAGGTTCAGTGGCTCATGCCTGTAGTCCCAGCACTTTGGGAGGCTTAGGTGGGTGGATCACCTGAGGTTGGGAGTTCGAGACCAGCCTGTCCAAAATAAAGAAACCCCGTCTCTACTAAAGATACAAAATTAGCCCTGCATGGTGGCGCATGCTTGTAATCCCAGCTACTCAGGAGCCTGAAGCAGGAGAATTGCTTGAACCCAGGAGGCAGAGGTTGCACTGAGCTGAGATCGTGCCATTGCACTCCTGCCTGGGTAACAAGAGTGAAACTCCGTCTCAAAAAAAAAAAAAAAAAAAAAAAAAAAAAGAATATCACTAATCCATTAAAAATAAGAGCAGAAATAACATAGAAAACAGTTTAGAGTCAGATGGCATAGGCTCAAAATAAAGTGATCCTACCACTTACTGTGTGACATTATCTAATCTTTATCTTAGCTTTTTCTTTTGTTTTCTTTTTCTTTTTTTTTTTTTAAACAGAGTTTCATTCTTATTGCCCAAGATGGAGTAGAATGGCATGATCTCGGCTCACTATAACATCCGCCTCCCGGGTTCAAGTGATTCTCCTGCCTCAGCCTCCCTAGCAGCTGGGATTATAGGCATATGACACCACGCTCAGCTAATTTTTATTTTTAGTTTTTAGTAGAAACAGGTTTCACCATGTTAGCCAGGCTGGTCTCAAACTCCTGACCTCAGGTCATCCACCCGCCTCAGCCTCCCAAAGTGCTGGGATTACAGGCATGAGCCACCACGCCCAGCTTATCTTAGCGTTCTCATTGACAACATTAGTATAATGTTAACGGCTCTCCTAAGGGAGTCAATGCAATAAGTCATGTCGAGTACTTACTTACCAAAGAACCTGGCATAGAAAGAGTACATTGCAGTCATTTCTGGTTTTATTGTTTTTGTTGTTGTTGCTACCTACCATGACCTTGGAAGTTTCGCTCTATTGAAGCCAGTTCTCCACGGCCACTGAACTCATCCGCTTGGTCTACCAAGGCTTCCTTCACTGCTTCATGTCCACATAAAACCACCACTGGCCGGGGACCCATGTACACAGTGAACACAGGGCCATATTTCTCCCTGAGCTTGGAGTGAAGGAAAACATAAGAGGAGGAACTGATTGGAGTACCAAGTATAGGCCAATCGAGGATTTTAGAGGATGGCGATTTCAGGGGGATATAAACATGGTACTAAGGAATCAGGGTAAATCTGGGCTTGGAAGGACTATTGGGAAACAGGCGCGGAAGTCTTGGCTTCTATCATCCTAGGCAAAAGCTCATCCTTCCCCACAAGACTTACTGTTCTCATCTATAAAATAATGGACCTGGATTCGATAAATTCCAAGATTCATACTTCTCTCTCTGAAATGTTAAATTTCTAGAATCTTAGACTTCATGATACCAAGTCTCAAAGCGCTAAGACAACCTGAGTCAAAGTGTCCTTGTGTTCAAAAATATAATGAACTGTGATTCCAAAGTCCTGAGATCATGAAAGTCTTATTTCAATGCACTGAGAATGTGTGTTTCCAACATTTTAGGATTCTGAAATTTCAGAATTCTAAGATTTGCAAAGTCTGTGCTTCTGAGAGTCTATCTTTAGAAGGCATAAGGTTCTATGTGAATCTGGCTATAGGATTAGTTGCTCTAAGCCCTGTTAGAGGAGACAGACACACTCACCTTCATGAAAGACTGAAACGTAGCGTCAGTTCGAACTTGCAGCAGGTTCCCCAGGAAAGGAATTGGTGTAGGACCTGGGGGCAGCTTTCCTGCCTTATTCATTCGTTTCCAGGCAATGAGGACGAGCAGGCAAGACAAGCAGAGTGCCAGAAAGATGGTGACAGCCCCTCCCAGCTCCATGGTGCCAGGTCAACAGGTTCTGTCCTGGGCACCAGATCCTGCCTAAATAGGTCCCGGGAGATCAGCTTATACTGAAATCTGAACACCCTGGGATTCATCTTTTCCGGGTTTGAATGTCATTGGAGAAGAGATTGCTTTATTTGGGGGGTGGTTATATAACCTATAATCTCCCATCTGAATAAGGGTAAATTGAATTCACACAGGGAAATCCTCTGGGGCCATTCCACTTTCTTCATATTTCCAGTCTGTCTGTTTTTCTCTCTCAGCTCAACAGAATTGACAGAATTTCTTGGTGGGGGGTAAGAGGCGGATTATTCTCTTTTTAGGCTTTGGGTTTTAGGATCCAAACAATCTGGGTACAAGTGGCAGCTCTGTCTTTTCTTCACTGGGCAACTCACTTAACCTCTGGGACTTGTTCCACCATCTATCAAATAGGGAAACCATGTTGTTTTATTTGTATTATTTTATTTTATTTTATTTGAAACAGATTCTCACTCTGTCACCCAGGCTGGAGTGTAGTGGCATGATCTCATTTCACTACAACTTCTGCCTCCCGGGTTCAAGTGATTCTCATGCCTCAGCCTCCCACGTAGCTAGGACTACAGGCACGTACCACCATGCCCAGCTCATTTTTGTATTTTTCTAGAGATGCGGTTTCACCATGTTGGCCAGGTTGGTCTCGAACTCCTGGCCTCAAGTGATCCACGCCTCTCAGCTTCCCAAAGTGCTGGAACTACAGGTGTGAGCCACCGCAGCTGGCAGACCATGTTGTTTTAGAAAGGCTTGATAGACAACAAGGAAAAGTCTTTGTTCATTATTTAATTAAGGATAACCCTAATTAATCAGTTATTAAATGTTTTTAATTGATACAATAATGGTACATATTTGTGGGGTACAGTGTGATGTTTTGATACAGGTATGCAATGTACAACAATCAAATTTGGGTAATTATTATATCCATTACTGAGACATTTGTCATTTCTTTGTGGTAAGAACATTAAAAATCCTCTCTTCTAACTATTTTGGAAGACGCAATGCATTATCGTTAACTACAGCCACCCTACTGTGTAATGGAACACTAGAATGTCAATAAGGCAAGTAAGCTGAAGATTTAGAAAACAAGAGAAATAAATCAATTGAAAGGGTTTTGTTCAAAAAGTTCTTGTTTTCTACTCAAGATAATGTTAAATAACAATAACCAAAGATTACCTGTGTTGGTGTGTCAGAACTTTGCTGTATCAAATTTAAAAAAGAAATAAAAAAAGAACTTTGCTGTAGTGTGTGTCGGGGTGTGTGTGTGTGTGTGTGTGTATTTTGAAAGCCTAAGGTGTAGGGATCACCCCTGAACCGCAGTCTCTGGAGGGGAACGTCTCCTCCAGCGCAATTAGTGATTGCGTTTCTTATAATCTAAAAAGTGATTCACTACCTTTTCGGCACCAAATATTTTCAAAGCCTTATTGTCCTGACATGAACTTCCTGGATATTATATCCTACCCACATATACTATTTAACAGAATTCAATGTCCTTTTCATGCAACTGTATCCTCAGACTTGGAAGCTGAATCCCTCAAGGTATCTGTAGGTTTGGGGAATGGGGTTTGGCTGGCTGAGTCGAGGCATCCTGTGTCCAGAAGTGGTGGGAGTTCTGGGAAAACTGAGTGACTCACACACAGTATCACTTTTTGTCTCTTGGATCTGCTACTAGAATGTCCTTCTTGGAGTAGAGACTCAGCTCAGACCAACTCCTTTGACTCTCTTAGCTTTTGCCTCCCCACCCCATTCTGATCCTCACCCCCCAACACTTAACACCCATTCAGGACTAATCTCTTAACCATCTCGCGGTGGTGGTGTGTGTGTGGTGATGTTGGTTGATTGTGAGTTTGGTTTTCCGATTCAGACAGGAAGGGAGAGAGCAAGTACTCTTAGAACAGCTCCCCTCAACATCCCACCTCCAGATAGGAAGCCAGGAATGGAGGAACTTGAACTAAAAAGTAGAAGCAAGCTAAAGAGGAAAAATAATTGCAGAGGACTTGAGGCAGAGAAATTCAGAGCATGGCAGATTATGTGTGACTGAGACAGAGATCAAGATTGAGAGAAAATAGAGGTGCATTGAAACACAACCAGAACGAGATCAAAACCAGAGTGAGATGGGGCTGGGCACGGTGACTCACACCTGTAATCCCAGCACTTCGGGAGGTCGAAGCAGGTGGATCACCTGAGGTCAGGAGTTAGAGACCAGCCTGGCCAACATGGTGAAACCCCGTCTCTACTAAAAATACATGCACACACACAAAAAATTAGTCAGGTGTGGTGGTGGGCACCTGTAATCCCAGTTACCCAGGAGACTGAGGCAGGAGAATCACTTGAACCCGGGAGGCAGAGGTTGCAGTGAGCCGAGATCGCGCCACTGCACTCTAGCCTAGGCAACAAGAGTGAGACTCTGTCTCAAAAACAAAACAAACAAAACAAAATAAAGATGAGAGAGAGAGAGATTCTATGAGTCAAAGATAAATGTCAAGGAGGACACAGAGACAGAAGACAATTCAAAGAAGCAGAGAGAGGGAGATAGAAGCAGAAAGAATAAAAGACAGGAAAAAAAGTTTCAGTGAGACAGAGACTGAGAAAGTGATATACGGCTGAGAAGAGAATCAAGAGGAACCCAAAGTGTGAACGCACTTTCTCCCTCATTTCTAAAAAACAAACCAACCAACAAAGCACCAGTGACTCAGAGAGAAATCCAACTAGAGAAAAATTTGGAGATGGAGATGAACAAAGAGAAAGGCAAAGAAACAAAGAGACACAGAGACAAGAGACAAACCGAGGTCTAAGTGGGATAGAGAGAAGGAGATTTGGGCTTCATGGACTGTGTGTGAAATGGAACCTGGGTCATTTTATGCCTAGTCACATGCCCTGTTTCTGGGACTAAGAAATGTGATGCTGCCAGACTTTTTTTTTTTTTTTTTTTTTTTTTGAGATGGAGTCTTTCTCTGTTGCCCAGGCTGAAGTGCAATGGTGTGATCTTGGCTCACTGCAACCTCTGCCTGCCGGGTTCAAGCGATTCTTCTGCCTCAGCCTCGGGAGTAGCTGGGATTACAGGCACCCGCCATCATGCCTGGCTAATTTTTGCATTTTTAGCAGAGACGGGGTTTTGCCAGATTTGCCAGGCTGGTCTTGAACTGCTGACCTCAAGTGATCCACCTGCCTGGACTCCCAAAGTGCTGGGATTACAGGCATGAGCCACTGCGCCCAATCAAATTTTTTAAATTTGTTGTCAGTTTGTGCCAGGCATGGAGCTGTGTGCTTGACAAGCAGGGTATCCTCCAATCCAAACAACCAGCTTGCCAGGAGGGGCATGTTAAATAGTCAGAGATGATTCAGGTCACCCTAAAACAAATATTCTTATAACCTGAAGTTGTTGGATAAACTTTTTTTCTTTTTTTTAACTCCGTGTAATACCTTTCATACTGGGGAAAAGGTATTCAGATGTTTCCAGTGCTCGGGAGTATAGCTCTCATTGTCATCTGGTTTGCTACATTAAATTCATATATGACTGTATTTGAGAAAAGGTTCATATTTCAGAGGCACCTAGATGTCTCCCAATATTTGTTTTCCCCGTCTTCCGCAGTAATGGAATTCTATCCAGCGATATGATTATCTAGAGTGAAAAACTACATTTCCCAAGCTCCCTTGCAGCTGCGTATGGCCATGTAGCCAAGTTCTGACCAATGAGAAGTGAGTGGAAGTGGTGTATGTAACTTTCAGTTTATGCTTTTAGAGGCAGGGGCAAGATTTTCTTCCTGAATATTTCCTCTTTCTGGCTAACCGGGATGGAAATGTGGGGATAGCAAGAGCAACAACTTAGGAAGCAGCAGCAGCAACATGGAAGAAACCTGGGCCTTTGATATCAGTGAACTACCTGATGAGCTCTGGGTTGCTTATGCAGAGCCATTAAGTGTAAGAAAATTTAATTTCCACCAGGCGTAATCCCAGCACTTTGGGAGGTCAAGGCAGGTGAATCACTTGAGGTCAGGAGTTCGAGAACAGCCTGGCCAACATGGTGAAAGCCCGTCTCTACTAAAACTGCAAAAATTAACCCGGCGTGGTGGCACACACCTGTAATCCCAGCTACTCAGGAGGCTGAGGCAGGGGAATCGCATGAACCCGGGAGGCCGAGGTTGCATTGAGCTGAGAGGATGCCAGTGCATTCCAGCCTGAGTGACAGAATGAGGCTCCATCTCAAAAAAAAAAAAAAAAGAAAAAAAAAAAGAAAAAGAAAAAGAAAGAAAGAAAATTACATTTCCATTTTGTGTAAGCCCCTTTAAACTGCTGTTTCAGGTCTTCACTATATCTTAGGAAATTAGGCTTCTGTGAAAAAATGATTGAAAAATCATTGAACCAAGGTAAGTGCTTGTCCAGCATTGGACATTTGCCTTCTTTTTTTTTTTTTTTTTTTTGCTGTGTCTGAGTACCCCCATATATTAATTTAATGTTTCTTTAATTGACTCTCCTTTTTAAGAACTTAAATTCATTAAGATGGAACTTGGTATTTCTCCCTTTAATGGAAAATTACCTATTTTCTATCATAACTAGAAAATACCGAGGCTTAAGACAAAAACGATTGGTTGTTTCCCACAGTTTCTGTGTATCAATGTAATTTAATGCCATACTGTCCCATATCCACAGGGAAGTCTTCCTGGTACTCATACCTGCCCCCAACTTCTTTTCTGCATCTCCTCTCACTCTTACACTCAAGCTTGGGGTTCCAGTCTAAACATAGCACGTCAGAGCTTGAAGAGGTCTCAGAAATATTATTAGTTCAGAGTTTCTCAAAAGGTATAAAATGCATAATTTGACCCCATTTATACCCATGGAGTACAAATCATCAGTTGTGAGATATTGCAAGATTCCTTGTAAGGAGGATGTATGTATGGAATTAAATATTACAGATGATGACAATAAACATATTTAACAACTAGGGCAGCAGAAACATTGTCTGAAGATGGAGTAGGGTCCTGGAGGCCTCCGTAGTTGCTGAATTATGGGACTCTTGGTAAGAGTGGTCCCGGAGAAGTGGCTGAATTTCCCATTCACCAACTGCTCTTGTTTGGATGTTTGTCCTCGCAAACCTCACATTGAAATTTGATCCCCAATGTTGGAGGTAGAAACTAATGGGAAGTGTTTGGTTCATGATCCAGGAGTTGCCTGATGTCCTCCTCATGGTAATGAATGGGTTCTTGCTCTATTAGTTGCCATGAGAGCTGATTGTTTAAAAGAATTTGGCCATACTCTCTCTCTCTTGCTTCCCCTCTCACTCTGTGATCACCGCACACGCTGGCTCTGCTTTGCCTTCCACTATGAGTGGACGCAGCCTGAAGCCTAACTGCTCTGACTAGGACTT